TTTTAGTGCATGCATATCTATTGCAGATTTTGTAATTAATTCTGTAATTCCAAATGTAGAATTTAAAAATAAACTCTTATATTACATTTATTAAGTTACTTTTATTGATTGTATATTTTACTTTTGTTCAGTATAACAATACATACTTAAATTCTACAATGAAAATTTCTTGTTTTACATTTATTAGTTTCGTTATGTTTGAAAATTGTTGTTACTTTTGTGTGTCAAACTGAACCACTTTGGAAACCAGTACATTGTATTGAAAGTGTATTTCAGAATAAAGAAAGAATAAATAAATATATATTGCCTACCAAAATTACACAAATTACCGAAGCTAGTAATGGATGCCTTGGAAAGCGCACCTCATCTTAAGCATCCTAACATGGATTCGCTTTCAGATCCTAACGTCATGTATGACCTCACTAAAGTCATTACACATTTCATCACCAGGCAAACCTATCACATCTGGGATAGGGACACTCACCGAAGGACTATTAGGCAATGCAGACTCCACTGTAAATCCAGTCTTGACCAATATACCCAGTTACTTGAGAGACACTACTGAGTTTCTTTTAAGAAAGCTACATGGTAGCCTACGATGTTCCATCATGTCCTTATTAAACACTGTATATGTACCTTTGATAATCTATATATTTATTTATTCAGCAGTGTTAACGGCTAACTTCCTTCAATATCATATACAATATACGACAGTATTTATTTCTAGCCGTTTCTCGAGATAATTTATCTGGCCGAACGCCCTCTTGAGGAGCACCATTGTGTAATATAATGTTCCCGACGGTTATTTGAACCTGTTCAACCATAGAGCCATCGTGGTCTAGTGGTTATGACGCCAGCGAGAGTCTCAGGTTCGAATCCCGTCGGAGGCATTTTATTACACAATGACTTTAATGGGACTTTATTCGTTGAAAAGCTACAGTGTAGCCTACGATGTTCCATCTTGTCCTTATTACACACTGTATATGTACCTTTGATAATTTATATTACATTTATTCAGCAGTGTTAACAGCTAACTTCCTTCAATATTAGCAATATCTAACATATGCACTTACTACAAGAAGAAGTGGTGGATGACATCGCCAAACAATCGTTAGCCTCGACATCGCAAGGCCCAGGTGAATAACTACATACAACATCTTTGCCATTTCTTGGATATTCTGAAACAGATTCAAACAATATTACTGGATTTTATTTCTTTCGCATAAAGTGACTTAACTAAAAGTGGGTGTCCCTAAATCACATTTTTATAAGTGTGATTGACTGAAGCTTTTTGAGCAGGCCCGTAGCCAGGGGGGTTTTTAGGGGTTCGGGCGAACCCCCCTTTTTCAGCGAACCCCCTTAACCAGAAAACGATCCCCCGTTTCCAAAATAGTGCAATTTATTACAAAATAGGAGCATTTTGGCACTGTTTATTTGTCGCTATCGTTCGTAGTCCGATCGTAGAAA